CATTTATTTATTATTCTTATGAATGTTTGGCAAATAGAAATTTTACAAAAATACTTCACTCAAAATAAACTATTGTAAGGTATTTTTTGAATTATTGCTCATATAATTTGCATGACACATCAAAAATTGTTATTCTTTTTCAACGGATATCAGTGAGTGTCATACCTTTAATGGAGGTTGTAATCAAGTTTGCACTAATACCAATGGCAGTTACACTTGTTCTTGTAATTCTGGATATTGACTAGAATATGATCTGCGTAATTGTTAGAATACACATGTAGCTACTGCTAGATATCAATGAATGTGATGATGAGAGCAATGGATGCAATCACACTTGTATTAATACACAAGGAAGTTATGAGTGTCATTGCATGGATGGATTCAATATATGAAATAACCAATGCCAAGGTAGTGATTATATGCTTATATTTAAATAACAATGTAATAATAGATATTGATGAATGCAATAATACAAATGGTGGTTTTCAGCAGTTGTGTACAAATACATTTGGAAGCTATTATTGTTCCTGTAATACTGGCTTTAATCTAAGACACAACTCTTTCTGTGCAGGTAGATGTTTAATTTTTTACTTACTGAGCATTGTTGCTCTCTAGATGTTGATGAGTGTTCTACTGGTACAAATAATTGTAGTCACAAATGTGTCAATGAAATTGGCTCATTTCACTGTGAGTGTTTTTCTGATGAGGTATTGTCTGATGATAGAGTTAGTTGTAAAGGTAAGTTTTACTTATTTGAATTCATAATAAAGCAGGCTCTGTAATATTTATTAGTAGCTGGTGGTACTTCAAATGCCAATGTGAGTCATATAATGAAGTTAATATGTTTATTATTTAATTTTTAATGTAGACTTCAAATCAACTTGAAAACTCTTTGTACGACACTGTACCATTGCTTATTATATCACTAATCACTTTTAGGTATCAACCAATCACATACACATTTTCCCTTTGTGCCAACTACGTTGATTTATGTTCATCTTTTTTGTCTTCATTTTTAGTTATCTTTGTACTAATAATAATATTAGTGATTGTGGTTCTTAATAAAAGAAAGAATAAATTAGAATATAACTTGTACAGTGATACTCCATCCTTCAGTAACAGAATGCATGGAGCAGAAGTGTATACAAAAAGTAAAGAGGACAATGAAAAAATTTATGAAGAAATGAAATAAACATTATGTGAAACATTTTTCATTGTTTTGCTAATTCTTTTGCTGCTTATTATACATACATGCATTTACTGTTACAGAGCTATTTTTGCAATTTTTGACCTCAATTTATTTTCATTTTTTTACTTTTATTGAGAGCCCTCTGCTGAGTACACAATGTAAGCTATCTATCAAACCACAGGGTTGAGCATCTACCAAAAAGGTATGGCTTTTGAGAAATAGCACTTGATAGCAGCCAGTTAAAACATCAGAGTAATATTTATACACAGCCTACACATAGCATGCATTATCACTCATGAAAACACCAAAATTCCCCCTTAAAAAATTACTAGCTATACAGCACAGTACTTAATGTGTTTCAATATCTTCATTTACTTGGAATGACATTACTAAAGATGTATTTGATCAGTACAAGCAAATTGAGGCATAAAGGTATAAATAACCAGCTAGCTATCAAAATTGATGTACAATTATTGTAGTCACAAAAGTGTTAATAAAATCGTACACTTCAATCAAAGTGTTCATGAGGCATTGATGGTTGTAAAGGTAAGTTTTGATTTTTTGAATTTAATAATAAAGCAGTTTCTCCTATTTTATACCAATGTGAGTTGCATTTTGCTCAATTAATGAAGCAGCAGTATACAACAAAATGAAGAGGACAATTGACCAAATGAGCATTAGATTGTTTTTGCTAACTGTGTTAGCCAACATGCAATTGGCAATTTCATTTATTACTATGGGTTAAGCTATCCAGCCATAAAAAGTCAGCTGTAGATCTAACCTTTGATAGCAATTTATGCATGGTCTGAAGAACAGTAGGATATGAATACAGTCAAAACAACATATAAAATAATTTTGTGTTTACACATCAGTGACACATCATGCACATGTACATCAAAATTTACAAAAGTCAGTAATTGTTTGCTCAGAATTTAAATTGAAATAATGTCATGTGACTATACTTGTGTATCAACACATTTATTAACTCAAATGAGAGCATGCTTAAAATAAAAATTATTCTTTAAAACTAATATTGAATAATCAATTTCACCCAGGGGTATCACACAAGTAATATTGTTTTTTAGTCTTTCTCTATCTGCAGTCATATTGTAAGGCAGCATCTTTCCACTAATACTAATGAAAAAAGGTCTAGCTATAACACGAATGCATAAAATATACCATGGATTAAAACACGGGAAAAAGTTTGTGAGCAGCATAAAAATAGTAAATGTCAAAATAATAATATTTAGGTTTACAATTAATCTAGTTAGCAAACAGTTTAGTTATATAGTTAGAAAATCATTCACATGCTGTTCTCCTCTGATAATTCTCATCATTCTTAATCGATGTAGTTTGCTAGTAATACCAAGATCCTCTTCAAGCATTACATCATCCAATTCAAAGAATAATTTTCCGTCAACTAATTCATGTGAAAATGTAGCAGCATACTGCTTTAATCCCATTAGACCAAGAAACTCTCCTATCTATACAAATACAAATATAGTGTGCATGTTAATAGGAGTCTTACCTTTGAAACGTTATAATCTGCTAATAACCTCTTATTTGTATCAAAATACTGCCCTATTTTACTCTCTGGTTGCTTTGCTTCGGTAGCTGCATGTACTGCAATGAAAAATTATTAATCCAGTTAGTATAAAAACGCAAACACATGCATAAATCTGTTTAATTAAACTACTGTATAGCTTGAAATTTTTGTGGGTCGATATTTTTGTGGTTTGCTCCTAGTGGGGCAATTTGTGGTTTAATTTTCGTGGTTGACAGTTTACATAGCCCATGAGGGGATGGCACTTCAATGATTTCGTGGGTTTAAATTTCGTAGGTAGCCCATAACCACGAAAACCACAAAATTTACATTCCACGAAAATTTCAAGCTATAAAGTAACCTATGCAAATTCTTTCACTAATTATGATCTGCAAAACATTGTTTTGATAACACATTATCACTATGACAACTGAAGCCCACATAAAAGCAATACATAACTATACATGTTACTATTTTAAATCCATTACACACATGGGAGGTGGACAAATTCCTTTGATACCTCTTAATTAGTATATAAATTACCCATACATTTAAACCATGTTTGAAGGTTTCCACACTATTTTAAAACTCCTCAGCCTTTGCCTTCAAGTTTCAAATAGTGTGGACACCTTCAAGCATGGTTTAACATAATAAAATAATCATTAGTTACCTGGACTTTTTTGCAATTTTGCTACACCATAAGCACAGTTGTTTAGTGTAGCAACTTGTACTGGACCCATCAGAGGTGATGGAGGTGATAGAATCATGCTTCGTCTAGGTGGTAGAGGAGGTGGAGAGTGAGTGTCTACAGAACTTTGTACTGACATTGAAGGTGACGCTTCATTTTGATCAAATTGTTTGTCTGTGAAAGGTTCCAATGACTCATATATTTGATGTACCCTAGGAGGAGTCCGCTTTGTTAGGATTACCTCATCTAACCAGTTGCTAATATGTTGTGGTAATAGTAGGTCATTCTGTAGCAGATTTGTAGTTGCAGTTGAATCAAAAATCACAGCAGATATTTGATCTGGTGTGAGTTTCTCTGACAATAGGATTGAGTTGTCATTTAAAGTGGCAAGCTCTGCTTCATTTTTTTGATTAACACAAAACATTACTGATACAGTGACGAATATTTCAACTAGGCTTGTAGCTCTACTACTAGGGAGATTGGTTGAGCAAATGAAAGATCCCACTGATGATAACTCTGTAGTGTCAATCATGCCATGTCTATTACGAAATTTTGGATGAAGGATTTTACCATCACTCAGATACATTGAAGTCATAAATGGTCGTTTTATGCATTTAGCAATTTTTGGCAATGGAAACAAAAGGAGTGACTCTTTTGTACTAAAACATCCTTCACAGGCTTCATCTAAGAAAACTTCTTTCGATGCTTCGCCTATTATTAAACATTTAAGCGTTTTGCTTTTTGGCTTATTAATGGCTTCCAGTATCAACAAAATTTGACCTTTTAAAATGGATTGGTCTTTTCTGCTTTTCTTCTTAGAGGCAACTACACAATCTCTTCCAACATACACCACAGTAGGTAGAGGATCTGCTTTCATGAGGTCAGCAACTGTTGGAAAATTGTAGCCTCTTCTAGCAATGCTTAAATCCTCATTCTTAGGATTATATAATACACTGAACATAAAGGTGCTATTCAGTGGTACTGTGTACGTTTTGTCTGCCATCCTCATACTGAAAACTGGTGTCTCCTTCTTAAAATACACTTCGAACTCTTGCCCGTCTTCTAGGAGATCCTCATAGCTTCCATAAATGGCTTCAGTAACTGATATTACTTGAGGTAGATTTTTGTCGTATCTTTCCGACAAATAACTCAAGCGCAATGGAATACTGTCTGGTTCCATCTTCTATAACCATAGAGTGAGAACTAGTGAGTCCTGTGGGAGAAATGGAAATTGCTTGCGCGCGTGGGAAGACACTTATACCATAGATTGTATTACTAAGTAATACAATC